ATGTGGTCTCCTCTCTACAATTAACTGCAGAAAGTCTCTTCTGCCATTCTTCAGGTCATTTTCTGCTCTGGTTGCACTGATGTGGCTGTTACGTAGGACCCTTGTCAGTTGGACCGGGTGAGCTTAGGACCCTCCTCCTCTGCCATCTTCCCAAGAGTCTTCCCATTTTTTAAAAAATATTTTGAAATGCCTTCAGTTCAATCATCATTGCATATATAAAAGTTATGATAAAGAATGTTTTCTGACTAGACAGGTTTTTTTTTTGGTATTATGTTGCTCATGTGGTAATTTCAAGTATATAAGTACATCATTAATAAGTATCTTTGTCTTTATGGGGCCAGTTGCTATGAAAAGATTCTTCTTTAGGTCAAAAGTAAAGTTAATTTAGTATTTGTTTTAACACTAATATTTGAGATTGGCTTATAAAATCATCTCTTTTTCTTCCTGCATATTCTTGGAATATGGTAGTTCCTAACTAGGATTATACAGTAGATAAAATTTCTGTCAGTGCAAAGTCTCTTCACCTAATGTCGATCATAAGCCTCTGAGAATAACTTTGCATCTCAAGGAATATTAGTTGTAAAAGGAACCTAAGAGCGGTACCTGGATGGCTTCAGTTTGTTGAGTATCAGACTCTTGATTTTGGCTCAGGTCATGATGCCAGGGTTGTGGGATCAAGCCCTACATTAGGCTCTGTGCTGAGTGTGGAGCCTGCTTAAGATTCTCTCTCTCTCTTTCTGCCCTCTGAGTCTCTCCCTTGCTCATGTGCATGTGCTCTCTCTCTCATTAAAAGAAATAATAATAAGTAAAAGGAACCTAAGAAACAGCTAGTCTAGTCCCCCACCCCTTGTTTCTGTCTCTTTATCTATACACACACACATATGACACACACACACACATGTCACACACACACACTATAGTTAAGATACTGAGGTCCATAAAAGCCGTATGTTTTGATTAAGGTAACACAGGGAGTCATCAACAATCTCTGTCTTTTTCTTTATGTTCTGGTTTTTTTTTTTCTCTTATGTGATTTTAAGAGGACCTACACATAGTTCAAAATTCCCCATTAGTTTGTCTGCTTTAAACATCCATGGGTCTATCATAGTTTGAAATGATCATCAATAGTCAGTGATTTATTTTAAAATATTTTCCCTTAATAAGACCCTAAAAGAGAATTGTGGTGCTTGGAATGGTTAACTGTTGCTAGGAAGATGGCATGTCACACTACAATGGTAGCTGTCCCAGTTCTTCTCAGAGGAAGAGAAACCTGCAGTCCCTTGAGAAAGAAAGTATTTGGGGCCAGGATCTGAAGCCCCAGAAGAGTGGTATGTTACACACTCTCCATGCTTCAGGGCCAGCTGGGCAGCCAGAAGTCAGTGTGGAAGCACCAGACCCCTGGCCACAGCCTGACACAAACTTTATCTCATTTACAATTTCACCACAAAAACCTAAATAATTTAAATTTGGATTATGTAGAGAAATGGATGGAGAGAGATGAATTTCATAATGATTAAGGGAAACAAGCATTTAACTAAAAACAAGAAAAATAACAACAGTGTGGAAAGAAGAAGCTGAAACCCTGAAATTAGCAAATTGAAAAACAACAAAAAATGCACACAGAAAATCTTTAGTAATCATATACTGTGTGCCCGTTTATCACTGATGCCTTCCCCAGACTCATTTGAATGTAGTATATGTTTCTTCATGAGTTTGAAGAGAAGCAGCTTAAGAAGCACTGGATATTATAAAAGATTGCTATTTTGAACAACTGTTCTAAATGTGTGATTTGTGATGTGCTCCTGAATCACAATATCCCATAACTTTAAATTTTTGATTGGGGTGCCTGGGTGGTTCACTTGGTTAAGCGTTTGACTCTTGATTTTGGCTCAGGTCATGATCTCACGCTTTGTAGGTTCGAGCCCTGCATCGTACTCTCAGTGCAGAATTTGCTTGGGATTCTCTCTCTCTCTCTCTCTCTTTCTGCCCCTCTACAACCTGCACTTTCTCTATCAAAATAAATAAAAATAAATAAACAAAAAAAATAAATTGTTGATTGATGACTTTAATCTACTTTTTCTCTGTTTTATACTATTTCATCAATCTCCAAAACAGCTTCTATAAACTATTGAACAACCAGTGAGAGGGTTCAGTATTACTAGTCTTCTCAGAATTACCACCAATGACTTGTGTTTTCTTGCATCAATAGGTGTTTACTCATGGATTCGCTGAAAAAAGAAAAGCCTTCAATTATTTTGAGAGAGAGGAACATCACATATAAATATCTGGGCTCTGGGGATAAATTGTTGGGTCATATCTGGCTCTTAATGCCTCTTTCCTCATGTTTTAATATCAACCTCGCTGGACTTTTCATTCAACATATAGTTGTTGAAGCCAAAGTAGTTTCTAGGCACTGGGGATATGGAACAGACAAAACCCTCTGCTCACAAGGAGCTTATGTTCTAATGGAAGAAGACAAAATAGACACACAAATCAGTAAACTATATAGTATGTTTGAGGGTAAAACATGCTAGAGAGAAAAACAGAACAGTATAAAGAGGATAAGAGTCCTGGAGGAGGAAGGCGTGTAATTTTGAAACGGTGATCATAGTAGGTCTCACTGAAAAGATAAATTTGAACAAAGACTTGAAGGAAGTATTATCAAGAGCCATGCAGAATGTAAACTGGTGCAGCCCCTCTGGAAAACAGTGTGGAGGTTCCTCAAAAAGTTAAGAATAGAACTTCCCTATGACCCAGCAATAGCACTGCTAGGAATTTACCCAAGGGATACAGGAGTGCTGATGCATAGGAGCACATGTATCCCAAAGTTCATAGCAGCACTCTCAACAATAGCCAAAACATGGAAAGAGCCTAAATGTCCATCAACGGATGAATGGATCAAGAAGATGTGGTTTATCTTGTATAGGAGGATTAGGAGGAACTTGACGGAGGACCAAGGGGGAGAAGAAGAGGGGAAATGGTGGGGGAAAGGGAGAGAGGCAAACCATGAGAGACTCTTGAATGCTGACAAAAACTGAGGACTGATGGATGTGGGGGGGAGGGGGGGATGGGCATAGAGGAGGACACTTATGGGGATGAGCACTGAGTGTTATGTGGAAACTAATTTGACAATAAACTATTTGTAAAAAATAAAAAAAAAAAAAGAAGATGTGGTTTATCTATACCATGGAATACTACATGGCAGTGAGAAAAAATGAAATCTGGCCATGTGTAGCAACATGGATGGACCTTGAGGGTGTTATGCTGAGCAAAATAAGTCAGGCAGAGAAGGACAAATATCATATGTTTGCACGTATAGGAGGATTAGGAGGAACTTAACGGAGAACCAAGGGGGAGAAGAAGGGGGGAAATAGTGGGGGAAAGGGAGAGAGGCAAACCATGAGAGACTCTTGAATGCTGACAAAAACTGAGGACTGATGGATGTGGGGGGGAGGGGGGGATGGGCATTGAGGAGGTCACTTTTGGGGATGAGCACTGTGTGTTATTTGGAAACTAACTTGACAATAAACTATTTGTAAAAAAATAAAATAAAATAGCCGGCAGATATATGGGGGAAGTGTATCAAGGCTTCAGTTTGGAGTATGCTTGGTGGGTTTGGAAAAAAAAAAAAAGAGGAGTCAATGTGGCTGGACCTCTCCAGTGAACAAGGTGGGGACAGTAGATGATTCAAAGAGGCAGAGGGTAGGAGTCAGTTGAATAGGGCCTGTACCATTGTAAGGACTTTTACCCTGAGTAGAATGGTATTGTATAGTTGTATAGAATGTTTTGAGCAGAAGAGTGGCAAGGATCCCCTTTTTAAAAGGATCACTCTGGCATCTGTGTTGAGATTCAATGTTAGGGGGACAAGTGTGGCAACAGAGACCTGAGAAAGTGATTACAACCATACAAGTAAGAGATAACAGTGGCTTGGACCAATGTTTGAGCAATGAGGGTGGTAAAAAGATAGTCAATTTCATTTTATTATTTTATTTTAGAAAGATTTTTATTTTTAAGTAATTTCTACACTCAACATGTGGTTTCAACCTATAACTCCAAGATCAAGAGTCACACGCTCCACCAACTGAGCCAGCAAGGTACCCCAAGTCAAATTTTAATACGTTGTAAAATTTTAAATACATATTGAAAAGCAGAGTCAATAGTATATGCTGATGATTGTATATGGAGTTCAAGAGAGAGAGGGGGAGAGGAATCAAAGATTTTGGCTTAAGCACTTGGAAATATGGAATTGCCCCTGACTGAGGATCGGAAAACTGTGGTGGGGCAGGTTTTATGTAGGAGACCATAAGTTCAGTTTTGGCACTTTAAGTTTGAGATGCCCATTAGACATCCAAGTGGAGAGAGTGAGTTGTCAAAAACATTCATGTGTCTGGAGCTGGGAAAAAAGGTTCAAGCTAGAGATCACTACGGGAATTGTCAGAATGTAGAATTCAAAGCAACCAGATTGGGTAATTTCACAGAGTTTGGGATCTGGAGTCAGACTAATTGGTACTTATTAGCTGAGTGACTTTGGAAAAACCACTTTGATTCTCTGGGACTGATTTTCTCCATCTGTAAAATGAGAAAAATAATAGTAACTATCTCATGGGTCTCAAATTAAAATTTAAATCAAAATCACTAATCCCTGCAAAGCACTTAGAACATGACATATAGTTAATAAATATTAGCTGTTAATTTTCAGTACAGCTATTCTGTGTACATACTAGGACATCACAAATACTTGCACAAACTCATGTTATCAATGTAGCAATACAGCTTTTTATCCTGTGGTGTTATGTTTTTGCTTTGGGCTTGTTAATTGGCACTAATTCCCCTTAGTTGGTTTTGCTTCCAGAATTAAACTGCTTCCAGAATTTGCTTCCTGGATTTTTGGTATTTGCTTTGCTTCAGTTGTTGATATATTTTGAAAGCCTGTATATATTTTGATATCTGTTACTTGTTCCCAAAGTTTCTTCAGTGCTCTTCTCCTTTGCTTTTCTTAGTGCTCAGCAGAGAAGCAGTCAGGTTCACAAGAAAAACACAATTGGAAATCAGGTAGGAATTTTTAAAATAATCACTGCATGCATGCCCCCCCAAATTGAACTCAATCGCTTGATTGACAATTTTTTAATGCAAATTAATCATGTGCAAATTTTGCTGAAAATGTGGCTTTTTGTTTTGTTTTGTTTTTGCTTGGAAAGTTTCTGGAGTGTGTTGCATTTTTTTTGCTACTTTATGCACTAAACTTTATTGATTTATTTTAAATAAGCTTTCTGCTGCTTGCTCTGCTTTTCAAAATTGACTCCTTGTGTCTTACTTTGCTTGCTTATGTTACTCCTAAGTTTGATTTAACATCGAATCTGTGAGTCAGTTCAAGGTTAAAATATGGTGAGTAGTTGCATGAGCTTCTGTTGCTGCTGACTAGTTCACACATTTGCACAGCTTGGTAACAGTGAAGGGACAGCTCATAAAAGAAAGGCAGTTGTGTTTAACTGCTGCCACACCAAGTTTTTGTTGGTGAAAAAACTGTTAATTTCTAAGAAGATCTGATCTTTTGAGTTTTTGTGTTTTGGGCTGACCAGCTGTCTCTGACTAATAGCGCTCTGCAGAGATTGCATTAACTCTGACAGTTTGCTGTTTCTTTTATGTTTTATGTGATAATGAATATTTGCATTGTTATTTCTTTTCAAGTCAAAACAATGATGATTTTATATATTTTTTTAAATTCAGAGGTACAATTATTGAACAAATTGAAACCTCTGCTCTAGAAGTTTTTCCATTGTTTTGAAAGGAGAAGAGGTAATAACAGACTTTATTTTAAAGACTTTTTTCTGAACTAAAGCATATAATTCTTTGCTATTTCAGGGAACCAATCTTCCGCCTTCAAGGCAAATTGTACGAGCTAAGTTCTGTAAGCTTTACTGTTGCTTTTTCATTTAGCTTCCCAAGGGCAGAGTTTGTCTTTAACTGATTAACTCAACTAGCGCTTGCTACTAATTTTTTTTTTAACTTAGGTTGTCTTGTCCGTAACACTCTGTCATTGAAATAAAAATCCTCTTAAGAGGGTTCATCCCTTCACTGCTAATAACTTGCTGTGATTGAAAAGTATGAACTAGTAAACTCTAAAATGCTATAATAATAAACCCTTAACACTGTGGGTGCTTTGATATTTCTCTAATTTTAATGGGCCTTAAAATAATTAAAATCATTAATGATCTTCATCTCTGTCCCTTTATGCTCTGTTGTTACAAGGTGTAAGCCTTTCTCTACAACTTGTATGATAATGTTTCCAATAAATGTAGTTGGTGCTTCTAAAAGGTGGGTGACTATTAAACATCTGATTTTTGATGTATTTGTTATAAGTCAACTTAATTATAATTATTTGTGTTTATTTAAAAATATAGAACAAAACCAAAATTACATCAATTCCTATCTTACATGGCTTTAAAGTTGAATCTTTTAAAAACCAGATACTGTATCTTCATTTTATGGAAGAGTAAAGATACTGTCAAATTACTGGCATAGATATTTTAAAAGGACCAAAAAAAAAAAAAACCCACCAAAAAAACATTACACTCTCATTTCTACCATGGATGAAGCAGCTTTAAAGTCTTTCTTCCAATTGTGCTCAAGTTGAGACTGAGATTGGAGGATAGGGCCAATTATATGTCTCATGATGTTTTGGAAGAAACAAACTTTGCAACTAGACATTCCAGGGTTTAAATTCCGCTCTGTAACTTAGTTGCCATGCAGCCTGGGACAAACTGAACCCAAGTTTGCTCACTTGTGTGGTGGGAAAAATAGAAAATATTTTTCTAGGATGATTGTGAGAATCCGAAATAATTTACCTAATGAGGTTTGCAGCTTGATACTGGATGTATGCCCTGCAAACAGCAGAAAACTTGCTCTTAGCAGGTAGGTACTGTTCTTGAAGCTTTGGGAGAAAAAATATAAAATATAAGAAAATTATAAAAGTTACAAAATGAGAACAATGAAACACTTTGGAAAATTAGAAGTGAAGGCAAAATTATTCTGAAGTGTGCAATGCCCAGATTAAGGCTAGATGGGTGGTATAAAGGACTTATCCATAAAACCTTCTTCATGGTCAGAGGCCCCTAGCTCATAGAAGTTTATATTTATTGGAAAAGTGATATAATAGTGGCATAAATGCATATTTTAAATCAGATCTGAAAGGAAACTCTGATCTGTTTTAAATTATATATTGCTTTCAAATGCTAAAATAATGCTAGTTATGTTTCTGTGACTTTACTTTCCCTGAGTACTTGAAAGCCCACACTTTATAGAAGTTTTAAAATTCAAAAAAATAGAATTGGGTGAGTGTTACAATGGAATACGGATTCCTACCCAAAACCCTTAAGGTCAGATGTACCTTTAATGCCTAGAAAATTTTGGATTTTAGAAAAAAAAGTATATTGCATATATTACTATTACCCAATATTCCTGTGACGTCAGAGGCAGGACCCTTTAATTAAACATGTTATGGTTCTACAGTAAAACAAATGAATAGTCCCACTAAGTGGATTAAATGAAAGGTAAACATATTTCCTGTCAGGTTAGGTTTTGCTGCTTCATTTTTTTTTTTGTTTGTTAGTTTAAAAAAAACCTTTTACTTTGCAAGTAAAGTGTTATGAACCCATATATCTTATTTTTCAGGATCAAATTCAGTCATTCAATGCAATGTAGTATATTTTAGAGAATCTTTTATTGTTTTTTAGCTGCTGACTAGAAATGAGCCATAATTATTTGAAATAATTTCTTTTTTTCCCAAGTTTTTTTTTTTTTTTACAAATCGTTTATTGTCAAATTAGTTTCCACATAACACTCAGTGCTCATCCCCACAAGTGCCCTCCTCCATGCCCATCCCTCCTCCCCCCACATCCATCAGTCCTCATGAAATAATTTCTTTATGAATCTGAATGTCTGAGGTTGATTTGAGTTTTTATAAAAAGTTTTGCCTATCAAGAAGCTCAAAGTCAGGGGCCATTGGAGCCAACTGTTAACTGATGCTGCGGTTGATGAGGCTGAAACACCCTGTGCTATCCTAGCAAGTGGTTCATCCATTCTGAAATTCCCTTTGGGCTCCTGGTTGTAAGAGATTCTTCTATACAGAATCTGCTCTGAAATAATTTGGAAGGATTTAAGGAAAGCAGAACTCCTATTTAACGTCAATCCCATTAGTTTTGTCTTCCTAGAAATTTGTCATCTTGGAAGTTCCACAAATTGATGTCAACATATGTACAAAAAAATGTGAGCACATAACTAGCCTAAAGTTGCACTGCCCAATAATTTAAATGTAACCTTAATTCATCCCTTCACTCATCAAATATGTATTTAAAACCTAAGAGTACCCAAACCTATGGTAGGTGTATAGAACAGAATGATGACTAAATCATGGGTCCTATCCTCAAGGAGCTCACGGCCCGGTGGGGATGATGGTAAGTAAGCAAATTGAAGTTGGCCTCCTCTTTCAAGCCTAGCTCCTTTTGATCCTTCAGGTCTCACTGAAATATCACTTCTGGAATAGGCTAGTCCTGAGCATGAGGATCTAAAATCACCATCCCTCCCCTGGTGTTGACATTATCTATTACCTTTATATCTTATTTATTTTTTCATCTTCCTTCACTAGTACCTAAGCTCCATTACAGCTATTTTTTTGTTTATTACTGAAAGCTGTGGAGTATCATGTAAGGTTTTAAACACAATCATAATATCTTAGAAAGATCATTCTGCCTACATGTGAAAGGTTTTGAAGGGAAAATAAGATTTAAAAAAGGAGGCTAGTTAGGATGCTAGTAATCTCTTGCAGACAAGAGATTATGGTGATCTGGGCTATGCTATGTATGATGGATTTGAGGAGAAGCTGATGAATTTAGGGAAGAGTCTAAAGGATTTGTGATGAACTAGATGTTGAGGAGAGGGCTGGGGATTATCAGCAATGCTGTTTAGATATCTGATTTAGGCACAGATGAGATAAGAAATGCTGTTCATGGAGAAAGAAATATGGTAAGAAACTCAGATTTGTATTCAGAGTTAGGAAAGGTAGATATATTGAATATTAGTCACTGTGGGAGATAGGAATAAAATGTCCAGAGGGACACTTGATAAAAGTGTCTAGAGTTGAGAAGAGATAGATAACTATTTATTCCAAAGGTAGTAGGGAGCCATTGAAGGATATCCAATAGGGAAGGGATATCATCTAACTTGTATGGTAGAAAGATCTGTGTGTCAGCTATATGGGATGATTTGGAGGAGTGAAACTAGAGATTTGGAAATTGGTGAAGATGTTTTTGAAATAATTTAGGTAAGAAAATACAAATGTTGGTAGCAATAGGTATGTGGAAGAGCAGATCCAAATTATATTTAGAGGGTGGGTAGAGTTATAAATAGTTGTGGAGTTGGGAGAAGGAAGTCATCTGTCCAGGCTATGGCTAAGGGGATCCATTGACAAAGGGAGTGCAGGCGAAGGAAAAGCAGATTTCAGGGGAGATGGAAGAAGGTGGTGATTTCAGCTTCAGATACATTTTTTTGTGCCTATTAGAGACATCAGGAGGGTTGAGGTTCAAGACTTGTCAGACTGGAGATATGTTTTATAGCTGTCAATGTATATACATGGTAGTTAAAGTCATGGGAGTAAATGAGATTATCTCCAATGGATAAAAACATAAAAGGAAATAAGGGATGTAAAGGATTATTGAGAAATAAGAGTTAGGGCAGAATGAGGAACTGAAAAGGAGTCTAAGAAGTGAAAGAGGTAGGAGAACTTGAAAGCAGTACAATGAGAGGCAATGAAAGAGAACGTTTCAAGGAGGGAATGGCTGATTAGTATTAGATGTTTCCTAGAGCTCAAGAAATATAGGGGAGGTTGGCAATGGACTGGTAGTGTTGGGGATCACCTGAGGTAGTACCAGTCCTTTTGGTCTTGTGGATTACTCTTCTACCTTAGAGCTAGAAGGTAGCATAAAGCTTAGAAAGCAGACAATGGAATTGATATCCTGAACTGGGTTTTTTTTTTTTTTCCCAAGAAGGCAGCAAATAAAGTCAAGAGAACAGAGGGTTAAAGTTTTGAAAAGATGGGTTGAAATAAGGAATGATATAATCTCATATGAATAGTTTTGATTGATGTATTAGTCAGGACAAATCAACCAAATAACAAACAACACCAGAATTTCAGTAGCTTAATATAATTACAGTTTAATTCACCCTGCTGTAATAATCAAATGAAGGTCATTGAGATGCTGGTGGGGGGGGTAGGGGGCATCCATCCCTGGTTTACATGGTCAGTTATGGACTTTAGGATCCTCTTTATCCTTCTAACAGATGGGCAAGAGAAAGAAGCCTGAGTGAGAGTTTTTAAGGACCAGCCTGAAAATGTCACAGATTGTTTTGCATTCCCATTCCATTGATTGACCAGAACTCAGTCATTTGGCCTCACCTCACTGCAGGGGAAACAGAAAAATATAATCTGAACTTGTACCCAGGATAAAGAAAAGAGGAGATATGGTGTTGACTTAAAATTAAAAGAAAATGGGCAAACCACAGCACTGGGTGGTGGGGAAGGAGGTTTACTGAAATTGGAGAATGTATTCCCTTTTATCTATGGGGGATACATTCTAAGACCCCCAGTGAATGCCTAAAATTGTGGATAGTACCAAGCCCTACATATGTGTCTTTTGCTATACATACATATATACTGTGATAAAATTTAATTTATAAATTAGTCGCAAGAGATTAACAATAATAACTAATAATAAAATAGAACATTATAGCAATATACTGTAAGAAAAGTTATGTGAATGTGATCTCTCTCAAAATATCTTATTGTACTCATCCTTCTTGTGATAATGTGAATGATAAAATGCCTACATGATGAGATG